GATTAAAGATGTATGAAGAGCATAGATAGACGCTAATTTTGCCGTTGGCGCCAGTACGCACACTCTCAAGAAACATGCCGATCTTCGCCTTCAACTGGAACGATGCAGTCCTTCTCGGTGTGCACGATTGCAGGTAAACGGATGGGTCTGCAACGGTCAAAAAAATTGCTAGTTACTCTTTAAAGATGCTGCTAGTGGTTGACCTGGGGGTTTTGTAAATTTCGAGATGGAAGTACTCGAAAAAAATCACAATGGCCAAAACAAATTTTTCAAATTTTTCGTAATTTAGCTATGTTATTTTTTTCGAGTACTTCCATCTCGAAATTTGCCAATCCCCCAGGTCAACCACTAGCGGCATCGTTTTAGAGTTAGTAGCAATTTTGTTGACAGTCGCAGACCAATCCGTTGCAGCACAATCGTGCACACCAAACAGGCTGCATCGTCCAGTTGGACGTGAAGATGGGCATGTTCCTGGAGAGTGGGCGCACCGGCGCCAACGGCAAAATTAGCGTCCATCTATGCTCTTAATACACATTTAATCTTAAATTGATGCCGGCGTGTAGTTTTTATGTAGTGACTATTTTCCCAAACCCTCCAATTCACAGGTCTGCCCCCTTAAAACAATCATGCTTTCCCGGGCTTGTGCGATTTTAAGCCACTGATTGAAACAACAGAAAATTATTTTACCATTTTTCTGGTTTTCTGTGTTTTTGATTTTCTTTGATTGCTTGTACACTCCTCGTCACCATACCTTATTTTTAACGGGGCCGCTGGATAAGCAACATGCATGCACTCGCACATGGTGATCAGGACGCGGCGTGGCAGGGCGTGGCGGGGCGTGGCGGGGCGGGATGCCGGCCGGGTGCCGGCTGAGTTGGGGAGCAGGACCACTCCAGTCCACTTTCTCTGCGCACTCATCTCGGCTCCAAGTCCAAGGTCATCACACTGATGAAAGTATCGGGGGAGACCTCCGCATTGGTCAGCCCGGGCCTTCTGCTACCCGAGCAGGGATATGATGATGATGCAGGCCGCGAGAGCCACTGTAAAAATGCTGGGTATCGTCGCAGGATTACAGCCTTGACCCCGAGAATAATTTTTGACCTAAATATAAAATATTCATCCATACCTGCACCCATGGCATGGTGACACTGACATGCATATACCAGACCAGCCACAATTAATTTTGATCTAAAAAACAAATTTTTGCTTTGAAGGGATGGGCAATGCTTTTGTGAACTCTACCTGCATATTTTTTCATCGCCGCTGAGAAGGGCTCGTGGCCGTCTCGCTGCGGTTGTGCTCCAAACCACCGCGGTGGCCCAGCTCCAGCTGATCCAGCATTTCAATTTCCACATTTATTCTACTCTGTTCCCGCCGTAGTGGTGGCAGCAGTGGTGAACTCGACCACCACTTATCACACCGGCGCTTATTTGAATTTTTCGTCGGCCACTCGAGAAAACGAAGAATTTGCAGGACGCGTTTCTCCTGTGCCTCTGGCCCGCCGTGACGTCCTCCAGGATCACTGACCCGGCCGGCCCAGATAGGGATCGACGGCGTGGCAGCAGCCCCTCATTTCCCATTCGTCCCGATCCGACTGGGGCTTCACTCTTCCTCGATTATACGCGCAGACTCGATCGCCGCAGACACCGAGAAGGACATCTGGGTCTTGATCCTCTTGTGGGCGAGGGGCAACCACTTCCTTTTGAAGTGTACACGTGATTCCCAGCATGCTTGATTCCAAATGATTCCCGTGCGGTTTCTAGTGGACAAAAATGCTTATTTCGACCAATATTGGATTTAATTCTTAGTGTTTTCCGTCTTGTGATTTCTATTGTTATCGATTGGTTTTTCATGCTGATGATTCTCAGCCTGAGAATCTCAGGCTGGGTGTACACCTGATTCCCAAAGTGGTCGCCCCCTCTCTTACGCTCCGCGGCGGCGCGTTGCGATCACGAGTGAGTGCGGGCGTATTCGGCGGACACGGAGGGGGCTATCGAGGTCCTCGTGTGAAAGAGGCGGGCGGCTCACAGAGTGGAACTTCCACACGGTGGAAGTGGCCTGGACGGTTACCTCCTCCTCCACCGCACGAAACGGAGGAATTCCGCCCGCCTGTTGTATGGATGCGGGCTTGGGCTGGGTGTGCTGCTGGTGCTGTTTTTCTTAAAGGCATGTTCGGATCTTATTCGGGACTCCGAGCGGGGAGGG